GGTAACCGTCTTTATTCCTTGATGTATTCCAAGGCCTTAACACATATTGGGAGCTCAATAAAGACTACTTATATTGGTTGTTGAACAAAGTTTTCCAAATATTGACTGATATGGGAGATTATAGGTACATAAAATGTCTTCTTTTTGTAGGTCATATAAACAGTAGTAGAGGTACTTGAAATACTAAATTATAGCTCCCTGATCCTTTCTTCTTTTTAAATCAATGACCTAACTCAATGCTTCCACATTTTAATTCTTCTAGATCAAAAATCCTTTCGTTCTGGCTCAAATGAAAACTTTGAAAAAGAGAAATGGCTTATTTATACCTGTCCATTCCCTCCAAAACACATTTTTGATCATTTACGATAAAAAGTAAATATGTACAGTAAAACTAAACCCAAGCCTCAAAAAAAGGCACAAAAGAACAAAGATATAAAAAAGTTGTCAATATTTCCAAAAGCTTAAAGATAGAAATTGCTTTTAATCTCAGATTTTCCAGCTTCTGTTTTTAAAGTTTACTCTTAACTTTCTTCATGTTACAGTTCTGACAGTCACCACAAGATGGAGGTAAATCTGTAGTTTGAGTTAAATGTTTCTGAAGTATTAGGAACATGAACAGTTTTCAACAACAGAAAATTTGTTTAAATTTCACTTGAAATTGTGCTTCAAAAACTGCTTCTGCAAAGCTTAATAGCTACCTATAAGAAACAACCAGGAAGAGATAGGTGGTTTAAGTTTATAAACTATCTTCCACTGAGTAACCAAGCAATAACCTAATAATTTAAAATATGACTCAAAGGCTCTAAGGAAACCTGTTTTATTGACCCATCTCTTAGAAAGAAGTTCTGAGCCTTAGTGTCACTGCCCCTACTCCAGCACACACTGCCCTGAGATTTCTCCCGGCTTGCAGAAACTTGGAGCTAAAGGACGCATATGGGTCCTCTGGCCCAGAGATGCCTTTTTAAGAATTTCCCTATGCTTAGGCCTAGATAATGTTAGTATAAACTAAATATATGAAGAATTCAGCAAACGGTAATGATATTTAAATATTCACAGTTAACAAATGTGTGCAGTGATTTATGTTGAGATAACCCTTTGTACATTATAAATTTTAAGTAAACTTTGTATGGCCAAAAATAATTCATTTACTTGGCTATAAGTTATTCTTAATACTTTCTTTTCGACTATTCTTTTACATAGCAGTTACTTCTAGAGCTGCAATTGGAACTCAGATTCATTTAAAACACTTCTCAACTCTAGTAATCTTAAATTTAAATGATTTAATCAAATAACCTAATTATTGAATAAAATGCCTTAATTCCACACTGCAGTCTAAAGAACCTTGGTTTCTGTCCTATTGCTGTCAGTATATATCTATGTGATCTTAGGTGAGCCATTTATGTGTTCTATTATTATCCTTTGTTATCCAGTTGCTATGTGACCTACCTACCTAAAAGGTAAGCTTAAAATAACCATGATTTTATTATAGCTCAAAATCCTGTGAAGCAAGAATTAAGACAAGGCTTGCCTAAGTAATTCTGCTTCACATGATATGAATGGGCTCTTGGTGAGCTGGCAGTTGGGCTGTCTGACAACCTCATGTTTGATGCCTTCCTTGGTCAACAGGAAGGCTGGGTTTGGTTTAGTGGAGGTCTTTTTCCACCACATGTGACCTCAGACTCATTCCACATCTCTCCAGCCAGTGGTCTGGGGCAAACTATTCACCTTGATCCTCCTACCACTAGAAGGGATACAACACTTGGTAGTCTTCTGGATTTTGGAGACAACACAAAATACACATGGGGAAAATGCTTCAAACCATTCTCAGATGACTGGGAAGATTTTAGGGGGGCCCAAAGTAAGACAGGGCACTGGAACAAGTGACTTAGCACCTAATCATCAATTATATCATAGCATAACTATGTGACCAGAGTTGCCCATCATAAGCTTGGTATTGTCATATCCACCAAGCCATAAGGGTGAGCCAGCATAGAAATAACCCATGATATATTTAGGATGGGGCCCAAGCTGGTCCAGAGGCTCAAAATTTCCCAAAAAGGTGGCCCAGAACTCACGTCACTTACCTTCAAGACACTAACATCTCTCCCTCAACTCATAATCTATGACTTGACTGGAGTTCAAAGGAGAAAAAAATCCAGGCGTGGTTCACAGATAAATGAGCTTGATGTCACTATAAGCCAAAACCCGGCTGCCACCATGCCTGAGCATATCCTCAGCTCGCTCACTCAGGAAGTACGCAAAGGAAAGGTTTCCTGAATTCTTACATGTTGAGAATGTCTGAGCAGTGGTTTGTATACTTAAAAATCCATTTTCTTAGGTATACAATCTTTTGCTCACTTTTTTCCTTCACAAATATCTTAAATGTTTTTTTTCTGGCATAGTGTTAGTCTTGCTCTTCTAAGTCACTTACTGTTTTTGTCTAGATAGCTAAACCCAAAGATTTTATGAGATAATATTCTTGGGTAGGCAGGGTGTTCTTTCAATAGTCGTAAATAATTTTTTTTGGCAACGTATTTTTCATATTTTGTTCTGTATATATGTTCTGAATTTTTTAATCTCTAAAACTGTCATTTTCTCACTGAATCCTTTCAATATCTTTTGATTTATAAAGCCATCATCCTTTTTAAATGCTATTTTCCTTAAGGCATTATCTGTTGTTCAACTGCTTTTGTGTTTATTCTAGTTTAGTCTTCATTTCTGAATTTTTTCCCTTTATTTCTAGTATTTTTCTAAGTTCTTCAAATTCTGATTTTTGGTATTCTTTCACATTTTATGTCATTTTCAGAACATCTTATAACTCGTTTTTAAATAATAAGTCATAGTTTCATTTTATGGGTATGCCTTTCTAATGTACTTTCAATGTCTATAGGCTATAACAACTTTGTATAACTATAGTTATATATTACTTATTTTTGTGTGAAATAGGCTTTTCTGAACTTTTAGAATCAGGCTTGGTTCAGGGTAACTTTTCTAGCTTCAGATTCCCACTTCTGTTGTTTTTGTATAGTACTGAAAAATAGGGCAGCTTATCTTCTGAGATTTTCCTGGCTTCTTTGTTTTTGTTTCTGTTTTGTTTTTGTTGGTGGTGGTTTTTTAATTATTGTATTTTTTATTGAGATATAATTGAAATATAACATTGTGTAAGTTTGAGGTGTTCAATGAGTTGATGTCATACATTTATATATTTCCTAGCTCTTTTTAAATAAATGCTGTGATGCATACAAAAATGAGTAAGATAAAATATTGGGTAAAAAACAAACAAACAAACATAGCAAACAAATATTTTTAGTCAGAAAGCAAACTTCATACTCCACAGAGGTATATGGAAATAAAATTGCCCTCTCAAAAAACAAAAAACAAAACACAAAAAGCCTAGTCCTTTTACAAAAATGTGTCTAACTCAAATACAAATGCAAGAGTTTAAAGAGATTTAATAGCCATTTCTACCTTAAATAATTGAGTTCTGCATGCAATGAAACAGAACATAAAATATAATCCTATTTTAAGCTGAAAGAGAAAGACTTCAGTATAAAAGTTTTAGATGAAAAATACTCTATCAATGTTAATGATAAATTGATTTTCATCCATGCCAGTATAGTCCTTAGTATCACTTCATCTCAGAGAAATAAACAAGTCTTCAATGGTAGTCTGCTGTGGTTTAAAAAGCATATCAAAACCTTCCTTCCATACAATGTGTTATTTCAGTTATTCTTTATAAAGATATTTTAAACATAAGGAGAGAAGCAGATTACCTAAATACATGTACTATGGTGAAATATTATTTCAATTAAAAACCTCCTTTTCATACAAAGAGGTACCTTGATGGGGTTCTTATCAACCAAAGGAGATAATTTGAACAGAAGAATAGTGACTGCAAGTGAATGAAACAGTGAATTAAGGGCAGAGAAAAAAAAAGTCCTAAGTTCATAATATAATGACACCAAAGGGAAAACACTTCTTTTAACTCACAAGACATCAATGAACGTTGCCAGGGCACCAAAAATTACTCTGAAAACTAATAAAGGAAAAAGAGTAAATATTTATTCTGCTATTCTGGTATGAATGATAACCAAATAGCCCTAGTAGGTGGATCAAGGTTCTTCTACTAAAAAAAAAAAAAAATTCCAGCTAATAAATGCAATAGGAATGACAGATTTGGAAAATCATCACTTTGCAAAACTCGATGAAATATCTAATGCAGGCATTAATGCATGCTTTTAAAAATATTATGTAAAAAGATGACAGGGAACCTTCCAATGATGATGTCAGACTTCTGCCCATGTGCCCAATGACCAATCTGAACATCATTAAAAGTGGAGCAAACAACATTAAATGCCTCTTCATTTAATATGATATAAAGTTCACCATACTAATAAAAAGTTTTCTTGCTCAAAAACATAAAATCAGAATCTAAATAATTCTCTCTAGACCTAACTTTTAGGATATGGGATAAATGACGAACAACAAGAAAATAGACCAAATTCAATCTATGGGACGCTATAGAAAACTCACATGGTTCCTTCAACAAATCATAGTGTGTGGGACAGGGAGGAAGAGAAGGGAAACTAATTTACATTTCAAGACACTCCAAAGACAAAATGACCAAACAAACATATACACCTAGTCTAAATAATGATTCAAATAAACCAACTGTAAATACATTTGAGACAACTGAGAAATTTTTTAATGGACTCGATATTAGATATTAAGAAATTATTATTAATTGTTAGGTGTGATTCTGACATTGTAATTACCTTTGGAAATGTTCTTTTTTGCCATGTCCTCAAATATTCAGATTAAAATGACATCACATTTGATGTCATTAAACAAAAGAGAAAAAGAAACAGATATGACAAAATATGGATGGTTATTAGAGCTGGATTACAGGTATATGGAGGTTGATGACATATTTTCTCTACTTCAGAAAGCATTTTTATAACTTTTTGTGATAATAAAAAAAAGCACTCTTTCAAAAAACATTCAATACATATAAGTTTATTATCAAGAACTTTAGTAGGTTTTTAAAAAGACTGTTCTGGCTTTTTAAGAATACTGAAAGATGACAGTCCATGATAGGACATATAAAAACAAGGATAATTAAAATATTAAATACTATCTAAATTAAAAGGCCATAATTCAAATTGTTAATTATAAACTGTGTTTTGTTAGAAGCAGCTGTACAGTTACCCTTCATGAAATTCTCCTTACCAACTCAAGAAGACTACAAAGCTTCATCTCAAACTCAATTATATACTTTATAGTAATCAATGCTGAGTTTTTTTGTGCTTAAGCATGCACTACTACAGAAAGCACAAAATCCTGTTTACAGGGAGTTTTTGTTTCTTTAAAACATATCTCAATCATCTTTTAAAGTGCGAGCTACAAATATGTTGTATCCTTAAAGAAAAAGGCTTCTAAAGAAAGTATAAGATAGCTATCCAATACTGCCGAGAGTGGTTATATAATTAACCCAAGGAAACCTGGCAGTACTCTGCTAACTGTTTTAGTGTAGCAGCCTCCTCCTTTGTAGTTCAGTTCTTAGCTGTTATTACACTACCAGCCGAACATGTACTCCATTGCTTTGGATACAAGACTTTCATCTTTTTTCGGCGTTTGTCTGTCAGAAATGACCTAGTGAAAAAACACACACATAATTGCTAGGTTATGGTTTCTTCGGTGTCATAGTCAATTCTAGAGTTAATGATTAATTTAAAAGAGCCAAACACAAAAATTAATTTGTAGAACTAAACTGTATATTTACAGATGAAAATATACCTTTGGTTAGAACATCTTTATGCACTTAAGAATGAGAAAATCTCTTTTCTTTGACAAGGCAAATTGCATCTGCTCCTTAAATGAGGAAAATGAACAAACACCACAAAAGCCATAAGAGATGAGGGCTTTAAAATATTCGTAAAAAAGAACACAAAAAACTAATAGTAAAAAACACAGTTCTAGAATGACCTCCAAATTTCAGGGGGAAGTCTAAACTGTTACTACCTACACTACTAAAGCATGATTCTTTCATTTGCTGTTTCAAAACCCATGTCTGTAGGTAGGCAAGTTCAGAACTCCTGCTTAATTAATTAGGAGACAATAATTGAATGAGAGTCATTAAAACTTTTACCGTTCTTCAACAAATATAATATACTCTTCCTTTAAACTTTTTTGAAACGAGAAATTCTGAAATGTGAACTGGTCAGCGTTTTCTTTTCATAACCAAAGGCCACTCTAACCTGAGGTTCTTCATTTGCGATACCATCAGATTTAGTCATCAATAAGCTTTTTAATATTCCCTCGTCAGAAATGTTCACTAACATAATTCTTACATATGTAAATATAACTTAGAAAAAAACTAAAATAAACTCTCAAAATATTTTTAAAATGGCAATAATTTTTTTTTTAATTCAACTGGCCAAAATCCTAAATGTTAAAATAGGAAATTTAAGAATATAAAGTTTACAGGTTTCAACAAGGTAATCACTACAGTAGGAAATATTTAATGGCATACAAATACAGATCAATCCAATGAAAATGTTAAACATGCTATGTACTTCAGCCTTTAAAGTATATCCCTTTATATTCAACTCTTAAAATACCTGATAGTCACTAGTAGAAGCTTTGTATGCTGTAGCAAGAGGTCTCATGGTAGAAATCCTAGGAGTACTTCCAGATTGGGTTGGTGTACCTAGGGTTTTGATTGGTGGTGTAAAGGCCAGAGGTGAGGATGACAAAGCACACCTGTCACTGTTTTCCATAACACTCTATAGAGAAATAAAGATATAAAAATTTTTGTTTATAAACATAATACATATTACCCAATATTACATCCTACTTACAAAGAAAACTTTATTAAAAGATGCATACTTTATTTGATCTAATTAATCTTCTAAATAATTTTAGGCTTGATAAAACAATATGTTTCTTAATTAGCATTTGAGATCTAATGTTCAGCCAGAAATCTAACTTCAAAGACCTCAAACATCCTCAAGACAATTAGACTCCCAAGAGTAAAAATCTCCTAACAAATCCTATGGAAAATCATCAAGAAAGAAAAAGAGAATTCTTGGAAAAATTTGGGGAGAGAGGAAAAATCAAAGTCCAGTAGTATTTAGTACCCAGTAACCTCAAATTTTCATCTAGCCTCTACGAACATCTGGTGCAGCACAATATAATAATTATACAACTACACAGTAATCCTAGATTATAAGAATAGGAGCCATGTCTGCTTTGTGCACTAATGTGTATATATAAGCACCAAGTACAGTCTCTAGCAGGTAGAAGTTCACATTTACTTAAAGAATGATCATGATGATTTTAAAGCCACAAAGTTTAAACTGTGCTCAGTATTGTTTTATAAGTGTGTATTTAACAATTTTTAAATATCTTATAAGAAATAAAAAGCTTCAGCCATTTAAGTTTAACCCTCGTGTGAAATATTTCATTCTGAAATAGCACCATTTCTTTAAAGTACTTAAAAGAACCTGATATTGCTTTGCACAAGAGAATGAGTTAAGAAGTTAAGAGACCTAGAATCTAGGCCTCACTTTAACAACTCTGGATAAGTTACTTAAGTCCTCTTGGACTCTTTAGCTGTAAAATGAAAGGGTTGGGATAGATTATCTCTAAATTTTAAAGTCTTGGGATTAAACATCTTTGGCTTACCATGAAAAGAGTACTATAACACCATCATATTTTATAAACTAAGAAAAAGAAGCAAGTGAAGCAAAGTAACGTAACCACCAATGTCAATACCTAGACTTATGCACTTCATACAGATTAAGCTGTTTTCCTTACATCAGCAGTAACTTACTTTATCTATACATGGTTTTACACCAATCATGATGGACTCTCCAAAAATCCTCCCATCTTTGCTTAAGGCCTTCCGAGCCTGCAGTTTAGATTGATAACGAATATGCATCCAATTTCCTGTGTTAGACATCTGTTAAGAATGAAGTTGTTTCTTAAAATAAAAAACATATAAACTCTAAACTTAATGAATTACATAGAAAACAAAAATACATAAAGATAAATCTGCTTCCACTTTTTATTTGATGCCCTGTAAAAAGCTATATACTAGGATTCAACAAAGATCCCATTAGACAATTTCAATAATCTCTATCTGGCTCTTAATTCTCTAATATAAAGAATATGTGGCAAATAGTCTCTGAAAGTAAAGGAATGCTCAAAAGATAATTGTTTCTCATAAAAAGGTCTTATCAATACTTGCTTGAAATTTTTAAAAACTGTATTCATCAACCTGATTTTGTGTGGGAGTTAAATCAGTCAATCTCTAATAATGGAAAAAAAGATTTGTTATTTATAACTTGTTGTGCAAGGTATTTTTTAAAGCTCTTTATAAGCTATAAAGCCCTAAGAAGTCAAGAACTTCTCCTTTTTCCTTTATCTCCAAGGTCGAATTGGAAAAAAATATTTTGGCATAATCTATCTTTTTTTTAAGAGACTATAAACTAAGAAAAGGGATGAGGGGAGTCTGATACTCTCATTCTCTTTCTTATTTTCTCTCTTTATCCTTTTTTGACAAATACTATACAACTTCCAGCCTTTCAACCTTCCAGACTCCAACAGACACATTCTATGAACGCTCTTAAAAAAAAAAAAAAAAGGAAAAACAGACAAAATTCAGCAGCAAAGATTTCCTCAATTCATAGATTATCTTTCCTCAACCTAAATCTTGAATTGAAAAGAATTAAGCCTTACCACATGTTTTAAGATATTCCCATATTGTGCAAATTGTAATAATATATAGGAAGCAGATGCTTGAGGAAACCTGAAAAAAAGAGTTGTCCAAAAAGTCAGCTTCCACGATAAATAAAAATGCAAATTACCATACTTACAAGTGTTTTAAGATAAATTAGTCCCAACTGTCTAGAAAAATAGGAGACCCTTGATCATCCTGTTTTTCCATCAAATATATCTATCACTGCGCATCACCCAAAAGCAAATACGTTAAAATTAGTTTTGACTCAGCCATTCTACTCCATCCCTAGATTCCACCTCTGAAATCTCTAAAATTCCACTTTTACTGTCATTATCATAACCTTTAGAAAAGAACTATGAAGTTGCCGTTCTGTATATAATTTATTTTACAAGGGTATGTGTGGGGGTGGGGGGAGGGAGAAAGAAATACTTGGGTATGCTACAGTAATTAAAAGGAAAAGAATTTTAAATTATATAGTCCTATCATTATATATTGAGCACCACCTAAAAATTCACAAATTTAATCCTGAAACAAAAATAAAAGTCAGTACCAATATCAATGGTACAGAAACATTTAAAAGAATGATTACCAAAATTTTAAGCCATATACTCTGGATGTGAAAATCCTAAGTGACTTGCACTTTCTTTATAAAGTTTTGTATAATTTGAATATTTTACAAGACATTAATACTTATACAGTCCAAATAATAAAACTATTTTCAATTTGAAAATCTATGGAGTTTCCTTAACCAGTAACTTCAGTTTTCTGGAGCTTGGATTGGAACCGCCCCCCCCCACTCCCCCAAAAATCTAAGTCACAAAAATAAATGAGAAACTCCACACATTAAAATCTATGTGAGTAAAATACTCACTGCATTCAGGACCATAATTTTATTTTATACAAACCTGAATATAAGATTTCTAACCCCAAAGAAAACCAACAAATGAGGTAGGGTGCCTAACAAAGCAAAGCTAAATAAAATATAAATGAAGGGGAGAAATAATGGTTGCAATCAAAGGAGGTACCTGGAAATAAAATATAATTTTAGGACCCTAGGACTACTTTGAGTAGAAACATTCCAATACCCTGTAAAAGAATCACCCTAAAACAATGAATAGTATTTCATGATGATCGAGTCAGCAAAAAAAGATAAATTATCAAAGAACACATATAATGTATTTTAGATGTACTTCCCTATAAAAGGTCAAAATATTTTATCCCTTAGAAAAAAATGTTTTAGTTCTTACATAGTTATTAAAACACAAAACCAAAAGAAAATAGCTGGAAAAATGTATGTCTTAAAAGTACTAGAAGTACTTCAAGTAAGTAATTTACCCAATTACTAAGGAATCTTAAAAGTGACACCATTACTATTGAGCCTAAAAAAAAAATTGAGAATGGATACCCAAATTCAAAAACATACAGCCATTTCATGAAAGGTTACAAAAATTTTCTCACACACACACACACACACACACACACACACACACACACACACAGAGCCCACCTGCCCAACTGCTATAGATAAAAGACTGACTGTGGGCTTCAATAACACATAGAATCTCTCTGGGAGACTACATAACAAATAGGTGCCCATTATTGCCTTAAAAGAGAGGAAAATTGTAGCTGGGGACAAAAGTAGAAGAAAAACTTTTCACTGTATATTCTTATATATTCTTTTGAATTTTTAACTTTTAAATAAACTGAATATATAAAGTCCACTAACATTTATTCTCCATTGTTTTCCCTTCAAGGAGCTCATGTGTTATTTTTATATTTTTACCCCCAAACTAAATATAGTTAGGTCCAATATCACAGTGACATATAACACTTTCAGACACAAACCTTACATACTACATTATAAACAGCTTAAAAATAAGACCTAAGTTTTTGCTGAAACATTACTAATAACTAGATATAATATCTAAATCATCTATTTACACCTCAGTTTCCTCATCTGTAAATGATGCAGTATCTCTAAGATGCTTTAAAGTAATTTTTTTTAAATCTATTCAAAATGCATCTAGGCCTGTCATGCACAATTTCTATTAACATTTAATATTCTGTGACTAGAAAGTATATATATGCTTGTGACACAGAATATATACACAAATGAAATTCAATTTGTTCCGAAATGATTAAGTCCACTACAAGCAGAGAAAGTCACTAACTAGAAAGAGAAAGGAGCTCCCTAAAGTCTAAAGGGATAACCCAATATCCAGCAAATATGCTGGAGAGAAAATAATCTGAGAAGAGACAAACATAGATGATTTTTAAAAACTATAAATCATATTGAATACTAGTTAATATGCATGCTGAAGTGTCAGAGTGATCTTTACTAATGTCTATAACTTACTCTGAAATGTACCAACAGCAAAAAAAAAGATGAATTAATGGAAGATAAAACAAATGTAGCAAACTTTTAAGTTAGGTGGTGGTTATATAGGTGTTTGCTGTGCAATTCTTTTAACATTTTTGCATGTTTTATAATATTCATTATAGGAAAGGATTTTTATTTTTCATGGTAAATAATCCAGAAACCTTACCCAAACACAGTCACCCATGTGTCATCGAGGTGATCTTCAGAAGTCAGAGAATCTCCTTGAGTATAAAAAGGATCCAACTGGGCAGGAGATAACGTTGTCTTTCGTGGTTGTCCAATGTTTGCTGGACTAAACATACTTTGCCCTATATTAGTACATTTAATAAGTTAGTTACCAATATGAACATCTTGATTTTTTTTTTATATCAAAGCTTTTAGTTTTAAATGAAAAAGTATATTAAAAGTTGGCAATTGCATGGTTTAAAATACACAACTATAATAGAATAATTTTATACTACCATACAATCTGAAGTCATTAATAATTGAGAATAACATGATTATGCAAATGTTTTATTAATTTCCAGTTAACCCTACACCAGAAAGCTCTCTAGTCAACCTCAAAGACTTCTGCTGGATTCATCTTCCAAACCTACCACTTTCATCATGGCACCTCTGCCTTAAAAATATTCAGTAACTCCTCATTACCCACAGAACAAAATCCAAATGCTTTGGCCTCCACAATATAGTTCTACGCTTATTTTTCCAATATGCCACTAAACAGTCTTTACCCTAACCCCTAAGATGTGAATGCAGGTTTTATGTTTTGATTCAAGTCATTTCTATCTGAAATTTCTGATTCTGTCCTTTCTTCTCTTATCCCTCAATAACTACTACTAATCAATGAGTCCTTCTACATGTCTAACATACCAAGATAAGTGCTTTTCATGATCATTTTATCCCAGAGGCACTGTCCTATTGAGATCACATTATTTCTGAGCACGAAGACATTTTTCTTTAGCCTGTGGAGTAATAGTAATGATTCTCTCATAAGGAAATATTACTCCAGCATTTAAATATGCACCAAGCATCCTTCCAGGTATCTAAGATACAGTAGTGAAAATTAGACTATAAAACAAAAAACAAAACAAAAACAGTTTAAAAAAAAAAACCCAACTATCTCTAATGGTGCTTAAATTCTAGTGAAAGAGTCAAATAAGTAAATACCTAGTATGTTAGAAAACAAAAAAAATCCTATAGAAAAAAAATAAAGCACAGAAGGGAGATATGGAGTATAATATTTATGTGTGTGGAAAGGTTTAACAAAAAAAAATTTAACTGAGGTGCCATTAAAACAAAATCCTGAAGGAGATGGTAGGCAAAACATGCCAATATCTGAAGACATGAATATTAGGTGGAGAAAAAAAACAAGTACAAAGGCCCTGAGAAAGGACATGATTAGTGTCTGATGAAGAGCAAGGCCAGTATTTCCATAGTGAGGAGGGAGATTTGAGGTCAGAACAACTATATGAGCACAGAGAGGTAACAAGATGTCAGACCGTAAAGAAAAACTTCACAGGCCACAGTAAAGACTTTGGTTTTTATCTGAAAATAGCTGGGAAGCCAATGGTAAATTGTTAGTAAGGATGATATAACAGGACTACAATTTTGAAATGATAATGAATGGTAGCATTTTACTGAGTGCTTATAACACCATTCTTTACATGTATATTTTATTTAATTCTAACAACCTTATGTAACAGATCCTATTAGTAGCTCCATTTAACAAATTAGGCAACAGAGTAACGTTAAATAACATCCAGAAGGGAGGCTGGAATTCCAATCTAGGCAATTTAATTTCAAAGCACGTGCTCTTAGTCAATAATCTAGTTAATACTTATAATTACTACAACAGCAGCTGTACAAGTATGGTCCATATATCCTGGGCTCCCCAAGAACCTCTCATGGGATCAGCCAATTCAAAATTATTTTCATTTTAATTTAAGGTTTCATTTGCCTTTTTTCACTCTCATTCACCCATGAGAGTACATTGTACTTTTCCAGAGGCTACTTGATTTGATTCAATCAATTCAGATTGACTATAAAAGAAGCAGATATGAAAATTCAGTTGTATTTTAAGCCAGACAGTAAGATTTGAAAAAACATAAAATGTCACTCTTCTCATAAAAATCTTTTATCGAAAAGTTATTTTCACTTTAAAAAGGGTTACTTATGTTTATATGAAACATTATTTTTGAATGAATTAATATATATTTTTAAATGTTCTCAATTGTAATTTCTAATGCAGTAAATATCAATAGCTATATACAATCCCAAAGCTCTTTGGCCTTCAGTTTTTCAGAGAAAAACTGTTCTGTAGGACCTTACACATGATTCGCACATGTTTACTAATTTTCTGAAGGCTCTCTGCTCAACACATTCTAACTATATACCTGCCGCCTTGTCTTTTTTTCTTAACTGAGTTGAAAATCAACCAAGTTCTTCCAAAGTGTTTATAGTCAAATGGATTTGTTCGAGTATATTCTTAAGAAATAAAAAAGATACTCTACAGAAGGAGGGGGAAAGTACTGTGGTAAAAGTTTTATGAAAGGCTATATACAATACTGTCCTGATGGTAGATTTACAATGTATATAAAAAACTCTCAAAGGCTATCCAAAATATTTATAACTGCCTTCAACCCAAAATTTCCTATACTATACTTGACCACATTTTGCCCTCAATAAAATACTTTGGTAAATGCTGATCCTGTGTCAAGTGCCTCCTATGTGCCTTATAAATGCATGACTAACACAAAAATTTACAGGGACCAAGCCTATCAAGAAATGAATAATAAAGCTACTATTCAAATACAAAAAGGGTTTCAATTGAGTTTTAACTTTCTATTAATGAATATAGAATGATTCCTCAGAACCATACAAAAAAAAAAAATAAGTTCTCTTAAAAAATAAGCTAATAGTGTGTCACAGTAACTCACAGGGACTACTATTAACCCATACCAAAGGACTGGAGAGTCAATTTACTCACGAGATATAATTATAACACTCAAAAGGTCAAAAAAAAATTTTAAAAGTGAAAAACTAAATAGGTCTCAATAATTTTTTTTTGGAGATTAGTATTTTATTCTAGATCCTCATGTTCCAACTGCTACCGCATTACAAAAAAATAATGCAAATATCTTTAACATATAGGGAGGGTGAGAAAGGCAGCACAAAACTTTGCTTTTAGAAGGCAACATGTAATTGTGTCAGGAGCCCAGAACTGGCTTGGCTTGGATGGCAAATAGCAATGCTAGCCCTGGACCAATCATTCACCGTGGCAGAGAGCATCATGTAGCGGGAAAAGTAATATGCTTTGCAGTCAGTTCACGTTGCAGTTCTACTGCTACCACAACTAACAGTGGTTATTGAGCCTCAATTCCAAATATTACAATAAAAAAGAAAGCAAAAACAGTAATAATATTAATGATAATGATTGCCAGCATAAACTGAACAGTTATACATACAGTAGTGCCCTCTTATCCTCAGGGCATACATTCCAAGACCCTCACAGTGGATGCCTAAAACTGTGGGTAATACCAAGCCCTAGTATATTACAGCCATGTGCCATACAACAACATTTCAGTCGAAAGGCTGCATATATGACGGTGGACCCGTAACATTATAAAGGAGCTGAAAAATTCCCATTGCCTAGTGATATCAAAGCCATTGTAACATCATAGCACAACACATTAGTACTTAAGTGTTCGTGGTGATGCTGGTATACAGCGTGTATAAAGTCTACAGTAGCCTACAGTAATGTCTTAGACCTTCACATTCACTCACCACTTACTCAATGAATCACCCAGAGTAACTCCCAGTACCAAAAGCTCCATTCACAGTAAGTGCCCTATACAAGTGTACTAATTTTTTATCTTTTATAACATATTTTTACTGTATCTTTTCTATGTTTAGATATGTGTAAATACAAAAATACTTACCATTCTGTGACAACTGCCTACAGTATTCAGTATAATAACATGCTGTATGGGTTTGTAGCCTAAGAGCAACAGGCTATATACCACATAGTCTAGTTGTGTAGGAGGCTACACCATCTAGATTTGTATTCTACGATATTCACATGACAAAATCACCTAATGATGCAATTCTTAGAATGTATCCCCATTGTTAAACAACACATGAGACTGTATGTTTGTTCCTATACATACACACCTAAGATAAAGTTTAATTTATAAATTAGGCACAGTAAGAGATTAACAACAACGACTAATGATAGAACAATTATAACAAAACACAGTAATAAAAGTTATGTAAATGTGGTCTCTCTCAATTTTCTTTTTGTACTGTACTCTTCCTTGTACTTAAAGAAAGTACTCTACAGCTTCTCTTTGGCATATCTGAATTTCCAACATCACTACTCTTGCACTTTTGGGCCATCATTAAGTAATATAAAGGTTACTTGAACACAAACACTACAATACTGCAACAGTCAATCTGATAACCGAGACAGCTAAGAGATTAATGAGCAGGTAGCATATAGAGAGCATAGTGGATACACCGGACAAATGGATGACTCATGTCCTGAGATTCAGTGACAGAGTAGGACGGCTGAGATTTCATCATGCTACTCAGAACAATGTGCAATTTAAAATTTATAAATTGTTTATTTCTGAAATTGTCCATTTAATATTTTTGGACCACGGCTGTATTTAAGTCCTGTAATGCAGGTATATAAGATGGAGGGTTGAACACTGTCTGCATTGCAGAATGTTAGCAATCCAGTTACTGTGGGTAACTGAAACAACAAAACTGCAACTAAGGGGAGACTACAGTATTCATACTGAATTCTAAAAGCAATTCTATGAGAAATAACTACCATAACCATTTTACATGAGGAACATAAAACACAAACATACATAAAATGCCTATCTAACCTAACATAGTTAAGATTAACTGAGAGAGCACGTTTAAGAGGTTCAATAAATGTTAGTTTCCATTTTGAAGCCAGCATCACCCTGACACAAAAACCAGATAATGACACTACAAGAAAAGGAAACGAATGTTCCTGATGAATACAGATGAAAACATTCTCAACAAAATATTAACAAACTAAATTCAACACCACATTAAGATGATCACACACCATGGTCAAGCAGGATTTACCCTTGGAATACAAGAAGGATTCAACATACTCAGCATCAATAAATGTGATGTACCACATTAACAGAATGAAAGGTAAAAATCACATGACCATCTCAACAGATGCAGAAAAAAAACATTTGACAAAATACAACATCATTTCATGATAAAAATGCTCAACAACCTGGGTATAGAAGGAACATACCTCAAC